AAAAAGAAAAAGGAAGAATGAAATGGACCTGGCAAACCAAGTAAGCCCCAGCAGAGAAGAGTTGGAGAATTTTGAGGAGAGGCACTAGGTAGTTTACCATATGCAAATTCAACATAGTTGGCAAAGAAATGAAAATGGGAAAAATCAGTGAACTAATGTAGGAAATTCTTCCTGATATTTTATTCCACTTGAGTGTACACCCGGGGAACATGTGGTAAGACAGGAGATATAAACTTTCTAGTCAGACTCAGTTCTACAGTCACTCTTGACATTTAAATGTTGATATTTTAAAAATATGCAACATGGGCTATGTGGCTTTCCTCAAGACAGCCCGCCCTGCTTCCTCCAGGGTGTAATTTTATCTTGCTTTTTCCTCTTTTACTCAGGCCAAACTTGCCCTCCAGAGCCTGTTTCTCCCCTATGCTTCTACTTTTACTTTTTCAGATAAACTTTGTCACTGCCAAATGTGTGTGTGTGTGTGTGTGTGTGTGTGTGTGTGTGTACAACATGGTCCTTCTGCACAATCTGATTACTTTCATCCAGGCCTTAACTGAACCGAGCAACCTGATCCAATTCTGGGGGGAATTTTTCTGTATTGGATTTAGGAAATCAGGACATGGTAGTTTCCTTTTTTGGTACCAGGAATCGAACTCATGACCTTGTGCTTGCCAGGCAGGCACTGTTCCACTGAGCTATAACCCCAGCCCTACGACAAGCCGGTTTCTTTGTTTTTTTTTTCGGTACCAGGAATCGAACTCATGACCTTGCACTTGCCAGGCAGGCACTGTGCCGCTGAGTTAAATCCCCAGCCCCGGACAAGCTGGTTTCTAATGTGAGAGTTGTATGAATAATTCCAAGAAATTCTTCAAGGATACTTTTGAGTACTTGAGACTTTTCTTTGTATGCCGAATTCCAAAGCAGATTCTCATCTAAGAACTGATACATAGCTGCTATAGTTCACATTATTTTCCAAGTCTTCGTTCTAGTCCCTCTTGAGGCCTAGAAATACATCCTATCTCAAAGGTTCATGAGCTATCCCTGTATCCTCTCAAGAACTTCCCTCCACGCTGTGTGAGGAAGACACTGCCTCCGGACCCCATGCGGACCCACAGCAGCCCTGCCGGGGCCCAGCTCCCGGTTTTGGCACATGAGATGCTCATCCCGGGCCGGACGAGGGCCATTGGGCAGGCCGGGTCTGGTTCTGACTGCGTTAATAAATCCATGGGATGAGAAAAAAAATCCCTCCAAACCAGGTGTGGTGGCGAACACCTGTGATCTCAGCACTCAGGAGGCTGAGACAGGAGGAGTGCTGTGAGTTCCAGACCATCCTGACTACAAAGTGAGCTCAAGGTCTGCCTGCACTACATTATGGAAACTCTATCTCAAAAAGACCAAAAAAAAAAAAAAAAAAATCAAGAATTTCCCTCCCACCTGGGTGTGGTGGTAACCCTGTAATCCTAGCACTCAATAGCCTGAGGCAGCAGGATCCCTGTTCAAGGCCAGCCTGAACTACATAGCAAGACCCTGTCTCAAAACAAACAAAACAAGAATTTCCCTCCAAATTCAGTTAGGGTAGACTAGATTTCTATTGTCTTACAACCAAAAGATGGGCCGGGGATGTAGCCCAAGTGCCTGCCTGACAAGTA